AATGCTGACCTGACATCAATATGCCAGAGGTGGGAAGTTTTCACCTCCATAGAGCCCAGTCCTCAATGGAACAGAGTGCACAAGAAAACTAAAGTACCTTTTTTTGGACAGAAAGTGGTTGACATTGCGGCCAGATGCATCCTAGAAAAGTATCTATGTTCAATAGCTGCGGATGAGAGATTACCTTTGTGTGTTTGCCTTTGTATGGGACGTCTGTCTACTGCCTATCTATCCATCTATCTATCTATCTATCTATCTATCTATCTATCAGTATCTATCTATCTATCTATGTATCTATCTATGTATCTATCTATCTATCTATCTGCGGCTCTCTTTGCGTCTATGGCTCTCTTTTTCTCTGGTCCCGCAGGTGAACTTCGCTGGCACGATAGGGTGTATGCTGCTACTGTCCAGGAGAAGGGTGCTCAGTGTCCATTTGTCTACTCCATGTCGCCATCCTCCTTTCCGCACGCCTTTTTCGCAATTCACGGGCGAGTCTGATCTGGACAACACTCTATGCTCCATCTTTGGTTCCTTCTCCTTCTCCTTCATTGTCTGACCTGTCCTGAGAGAGTACTATTCTCCTGCTCGTGTTCTCTCCCTTGTTACCAGGGAAAATTTTGCTCCTCCTCCTTACGAATGCCGACTTCATCATCATTCTAACTTTGAGTCCGCTCTCGAAGATGCTCCGTCTCCAGCTCTCGCTTCCCTTATCGCCATGCACGTCCTGAGCCTTCTCCTAAGACTCTTCTCCTGCTCCTGTTCTTGCGCTAGTTACCCTGCCGGGTACTACACTGCTACTCCTCTATCATAGCTGACCGCTTTTGGTTGATCGCGTGCCCCTCCTCCGTCAGCATAACGCCCCTGCTCCCGTTCCTACTCCTCTGCTTGTGGTTGACGGCTTGGCCCCTCCTCCAGGCCCCTCTTTCCTGTTCATTTTCCTAGCTGCTGTTTCAGCGTCTGGTTCTCGTGCTCTAGCTGCGGAAGCCGCGTCGTGACGGCCCTCAAAGCGGCGATTTCCGCTTCCAAATCTGCCGCCGATTTCGCTTGGACCTTAAGTGAAGCAATCTCTGCGGAATCGGCTCCCCCTCCCGCGGCAGCTGCTGCTGCCGCAGCTTCTTTCATTGCATCCTCCCGGGCACTCTTTCTCAGCTCTTCGAGTTTGGCGGCGTTCTCTGCATTCTTACTCTCAATCTGCTTAGTGAGTGAGGCCAGTTCTGCCTCCAATGCCGGCAGCTTTGCAGCCTGCTGCTTCAGCTCATCGAGTTCTTTCGTGTCGATTGCCGGCACAGCACCTGCTGGAACTTCCACCGCTCCGGGACCCTTGGCGACCTTCTCGCGCAAGGATTCAATCTCTGTGAGATCTACTTTCGCAGCTTCCTCGGCTGCCTTCCTTAGATCTTTCACTTCCGCTTGAAGTGACGGGAGCTTCGCAACCATCTCTCGCAGCCTCTCCACCTCCTCCATGTCAACAGCATCGATCCGCTTTTTCTTTGCACGCAGCCTTTCCAACTCCGCTTCATCAATCTTAGGTGCTTTTGCGATCCTCTCACGGAGTTCCTTTATCTCTGTCTGCAGCTCCGCCACCCTAACAGCTTTTTGTTTCAGTTCTTGGTTCTCTGCCTCTGCAGCACTTGCTTTGCTGGTCGCTTCCGCGACCTTTGCCTCCATGGCTGCAAGGGCTTCCGGGTCCCCAACACCGGCCGTTTCAGCCTCCTTCTTCGCTGCCGCAAGCTGCTCTTCTGCCCCAGCCTGTGCCTTCTCCTTCTCCTTTTGCTTCGCTTCTGTTGTGTCGGCAGTCTTTTCGCTTTCCACAGACTGTACGTCCAGACGCTTTGACTCGTTCTGAAGCGACGCAATGATCTCCTGCGCCTTCTTCTCCACTCCCTCACTCAACTCCTTCTTCACCCAGGCTGTTGCATCTTTCCTCGCCGTGACGAGAGCAGCAGCATGATCCTTTTCTTCCTTGGCGAACAACGCCTTGGCCTCGCTCACGCTCCTCTGTACCTCGGCAAGTTGTCCCTGCAGTCTGGCAATGTCGTCCGCTTTCGCCTTGGCCACATCGACCTGCAATTGCTTCTCCGACGCAACATTGCTCAGGAAGTCCTCAACTTCCTTCTCCAGACTCTGTTTGTTTCCTTGCAAAGTCGCAATTTCCTCCAGCATGGGCACAGGGAGAACAACCGCTGCTCTCGCCATCTTGGAAACCGAAAACGTCTGTTCTCCTACTAGCTGCAGCAGGACAAAACAAACGCAACAACGCAAGCACCAAATCTGATTCAATCAAAGTCAGCCCTCTGCATCGATGAACGGTGGTGATATAACTCTGTCAGAAGTTACCTCCAGGCTCCTTTATCAGCAAAGCCATCTGGATTCCACCTCAGGTCTGTATTTCAAATTTTTAACAGTTCGTAGGTGTACCGACTAAGGTAGGCCAGCTCTAAAAGTAGGCCATGCATGTAAAATAGCAAAGGAGGCAAAGGACCGCGATCTGTGTACGCACCGTGAGGAGTACAGTCTATTGCACCTTGCATTCTTTAAATTTGCGAACATTGAATAAATTAAATATGCCTTACAATCTTTGACTAAGAGATGACTTCGCTTAAGCTACTGCCGGTGTTCCTGATCATCCCATAATGGCCTCCTCGGCGGATCGTGGCAGCATACGTGCTCGGCAGGTGGACGGGGACCGATATCAAAAGAAGAGAGTTTGCAATTGCCGACAACTGGCCTCCGGTTGTGATCTGGACGGTCCTGAATGGCGATCGCGCTCTGTTTCAGGGCTCTGGATCTGACAGCAGAGGTTCAACGACGTCAGGCTACAACTGCCACTCCTCAATGGCGATCGCGCTCTGTTTCAGGGCTGAGCCTCTTGGTCTGACAGCAGAGGTTCAGCAACGTCAGGCTACAACCGGCACCCGGCTGTGTCACCTGCGAGGAACTGGATGGCCATAATTCTGCATTGAATTTTTCCTGGACTTTCGACCTGATTGCGGAAGTTGGGCAATTTCAACAGGTTTCCCGGAATAGGTTCTCGACAGTGGTACGACCGGGAGCGGGCCTAGCTCAGTTGGTACACCCATGATCTGTTGAAATAGTGTCCCGAGTTCAAATCCAGACAGACGTAGATGAACTACGATTGCAAAATCCGTGAATCACCAGGGGTTGGTCAGTTACGATAATGAGATCTCTAGAGCATAACCCTTTTCGAAAAAAAAGGGTTCCCAACCGGTGTTACCAGTGTGGCCTGGGACCACTTGCCCGGCCAGGCCAAAATAATAATAATAATAATAATAATAATAATAATAAAATTAATCATAATAAATTAATCATAATAATTATAATTCAATTATAATTGTTGATTTTTTGATTTTTTTTTTTATTTTGCAAAGAATTTCGGTTCGACCCGGAGGCAAAAAGTTGTTCAGTTTATTTGTCAGAACAACACAATGTTTTCTTCGTATCTTTTTTTTTTTTTTAACAGGGACCTTCCCTGGTCCTTGCCCGGCCGGGTGGCCCGGTTTATAACATAGTTTTCAGCAGTGGTGGTTTAACCCCAGTAAGTTGATGAGAGCGCGTTGAAGTCGCACAAGTTTCATAACCATGGTAAGTTGATGAGAGTGCTTTGAAGTCACACACGTTTCATATGTGCACGCGACGAGAAACGCCACAAAGTTCGCACAAACCCCGCCTATCTCCAGAGTTCAAGGTACTGCACATTTCTGACGTATGTGAACATGAGGGAGGCATGCCACAAAGTTCGCATTGACCCTGCCTGCCTATCTCCAGAGTTACAGGTACTGCAGCTTTCTTATGTATGTGAAGTTGTGAACACAAGAGGGAGGCACCCAGCTCCCGCTCCGAGGATTTAGTCTAGGTACCCATCGTTACGTAGCTCTAACTCAACTAGGAAACATGGGCGCGCTGAAACCAACCCTTGCTATGACCAAACGAAACGAAACCTTGCTGTGAAAAACGAAACTGGCCAGTACGAGGCTGCGACAAAACAATCGCAACCGTAAGCGAATGGACACATTGTCAAAGAGAAAGGTGATCTTTACCCAACCGACATACATACAGTCTTCACCCGAAAAAAAATGTCCGGTAATTATTGCCGTATCTGGACTGAAAGTTGCACCAAATACAGCTGCCATGACCGCGGGTGTTCTGTTCAGGTGAAGACGGTAGTTGTGAAGAAATAAACCCACTGAGGTGTAAGTAAAGTCAAAGATGAAGATATGGTGCCTCCCTGGCGACTGAATGGAACACAAATAACTCATGACAAACAGATCCAGTGCTCAAGTCCTGCTGGATACAAGAAAGCTCAGGGCTAGCCCCTCGAAGAAAAACAATAAATAAATATGCAGAAATGTTGAAATGAACCCTAACCCTCTGCGGCATGCTGTGCGGTGCGCTCAAACTCGTGCAGGCCACGAAGTGGCAACAGCATCCGAAGCGCACTGCGTACTCAATTCAACCCAGAGAGCATACGGTCGAACGGATGTCACTGAACCATTCTAATCTCTTTTCGAATGGGGCAGCGGGCTCGTAGTACCTACCACACTTCGCACCTACCGGCAGTCTGAGAGAGGAAGGTCGTCGAAATCGACAGACTTGGACCGCAAAACCGAACACGTCGCACACCAAAAATTCAAAAATGCGAAGAAGGAAAAACGCAATGACCCGAACGGTTTTAGACTGAGAAATCGGTGTTTTGAACTGTTTTCTGCAAAAAGGAGGTCTTTGTTCTGTTCGGCGTTCGCTGTGATTTCCATGACTAGGTCTCTTTCGCTGTGCTTTCTGAGTCTGCGTGTGTGACCTGCTGATAATGTCTGAATGCCGTGTGCTTGCCTGTGCCTTTTTTAGTCTGTGTCCTCGAGCCGCTTGCCTGCGCCTTGGTCGCTGTCCTCGAGATAACTCTTAAAGTCTGTTTTCTGGTGTGTCTCTTCTGTGCCTCGGACGGGGGTAGACTAGCAATAGGTGCAGAGTCTGTGGACACAAGGGACAGGCCCGAAATTTGGCGGCAGAGGGACTTTAAATGTAGACTCTAGAAGGCTAGGGGTAGCTCTAGAATTCGATAGGGACCAGGCCATCTTCGGCAACTCGGGTAGGCCCAGGTAGGTCCGGCAGGCTTAGGAGATCTTCCAGTAGCTTCCCGAAGGTCATAATGGTCCAGGGCCTGTATGTAGACAGGTGTTAGGGTAGATTCAGGCCCCATCCTCGAGCTAACTCTGTTAAATTTCCGTTGTGCGTCTTCTGTGCCTCGGACAGGGGTAGGTTAGCGATAGGTGTGGACACAAGGGACAAACCCGAAACTCGGTGGCAGAGGGACTTAACCGAAAACTCTAGAAAGCTAGGGGTAGCTCTACAATTTGATAGCAACCCGGCCATCTTCCGCAACTCGGGTAGGCCCAGGTGGGTCCGGTAGGCTTAGGAGATAATCCAGTAGCTTCCGAAAGGTCATAATGGTCCAGCGCCTGTATGTAGACAGGTATTAAGATAGATTCAGGCTCTGGGGGTAGCTTGCAGGCTGCAATCATTATGACATTGCCGCCAAAGGCAGCAACTTTTCGGAGGTCCTACCGGTAGTGGACCGGTAGGAGGCAGGTAATACCTGGAGCAGAGGTGCTGGAGGCCGACGCGTAGAGACATGAGTGAGTATATCATTCGGGGTAACGAGTGGGTCGGACCTCTGCTCCGCCCAGAGGGAGAGGCTGGCAGAGAATTTGGTGGTGAAGGAGAAGCTTGGGGGTGATGGTGAGAGCTCCCTGGCTATGGCGGAGAAGAGGGAGATATAGCCTAGCCTAGTACGTAGTCGTAGGAGCCCAACGGCTAGTAGGGAGTAAGGAGGCAGAGAGAGTACTAGAAGGTGAGAGGAGGAGGAGGAGGAAGGAGTAAGAGTAACGCCTTTAAGTTACTCCACCAGAGCCAACAGTAACTCCTTTAAGTTACTCCACCATAGCCAACAGTAAATCCTTTAAGTTACTCCACCATAGTCAACAGTAACTCCTTTAAGTTACTCCACCATAGCCAACAGTAACTCCTTTAAGTTACTGCACCATAGCCAACAGTAACTCCTTCAAGTTACTCCACCATAGCCAACAGTAACTTAAAGGAGTAAGGAGGAGGGAAAAAAGAAGGCTTAGTACTGGTGGCTATGGTGGAGCACCATCTTCGATTACCTGGTTGGTGCTGAATCAGGAAGACCGCAAGAGGGGAATGGTTGGACTGTAACATGGACAGGAACTTCATCCATAGAGAGTGGCTATGACGGCATATGGAGGAGATCGAGGGGGAGTGGTTGTGTTGTTGGCCAGTGTCAAGTGAACATCCAGGCTTGGTCAGGCGGAACTGCCATAGCCCCCAGCTCAGCAACTTGAAGGTGTAGTAGAGAGAGGGAGAGAAGCCTAGAGGGGGAAGTTCTTCAGCAAGACACTGAAGACAGTAAGGGAGATCTTCCGCGCAACGATTCTTGCTCATCCATTCATTCATTCATTCATTCATTCATTCATTCATTCATTCATTCATTCAATTCATCCATCCATTCATTCATTCATTCATTCATTCATTCATTGGGCCCAAGGCCTCCACGGGCACCCCCGCCTGAGCATCATTGGATTCCTCACGACCTCAGCACCTTCGGTTTTAAACCGGGGTTAGGTCCACAGTCGTGGCTTCCCTCGCTCCCTCCCAATTTGGAGAGTGTTGATAGCCTAAAGTGGAAGGGAAATGGAGACCATTATGAGCGGGCCTTTGGGTCTTCAGACCAGAATGGGGTGTGTGTTTGCTCCCCCCTGTGATCCCTGCAGCGCCTGTTCGTGGGTGATGGTCGTCGTTTCATGGAAAATGGCATGCAAGGCCGTGTCTCACCGACGATCCCTGTCGCCACGTACTCAGCGCACAGTCGCAAACCCAAGCGATCGTCATCACCCTCTGTCAACCCAACTCCTATGCCGATCCGGTCAGATCCTGCGTTCTGTCGCAGCGATCTGGCTCACGATGTCTGTTTACTCTAGAGGATGCCCGTGTGTTCCTTAATAGGCGGCTGTTTGGGTAGAGTACCGTGGTACTCACTGCTCAAACACACATGGACGGGAAACCTCACACCCTACTTTCTTATGCTGCGCTGTTTTTCTTGCTCGCACGGGCGCACACACATTTACAATTTTACACAGGAGCATGGATGTTCCCACTAGCAACGGGGATTGGATAAAGATCCTGAATCTGGGCGTGTTTAGGCAGAGATGCAGAAAAGGAGTTCAATCTCGATTTTCTGCACTTGTCCACAAACGCAGCCAGATTCAGGCGTTCAATCCAATCCTCTTTGCTAGTGGGACCTCGCCCCAGGTGACTCACACTCACTCATACACGGAAAACCTCGCACCCTGCTAAGCCTGCTTTTGTTGTTTTCAAAATTATTTTGAATATGTTTTTTTTTTTTTTTTTCCGAATATTCTCTCAATATATTTAACAAGATAGGTTCTTAGTCCATAGCCTTGTGGTGCTGTCGCTGAATCGCGAACTGAGGAAACAGAGTTTTCCAGCCGACTTTTTCGATCGCAGGCTTTGGG